GCCAACTGCTTTTGCACAGATAGGTCCTGTTCAGGTGTTGCTTCTGCTCTGGGGCTTTTGGGATTTGGAGTTCTGCCGCCTGGCAGTTTCAGTCCGACAGTTCAGACCTCATGGAAACATGTCCTAGCCTGAATAACCAAGGCACGCGAAGCGCGGCCCTTTTTCTTGTAAGCCTTTGGTACACCTAGGCCTGGTTTACCAGAAGCACGTTGGGAAAGGCCTCTAACATTAGGGTGTTGAGGCATGGCTGGAACAGGCTTCGGTCTTCTCAATTCCTGGAGTCTGGCGCTGCAAACACTCATCACCAAATGAAAGACACTCCCAACACCACAGAAGCACGAATAACAACATCAACTCCAGACTCTACAAGACGATGCAACGCCTGACCTCTCTCCCCACCCCCGTAACCCACTCCTGCGTTGGAACTTGCTCTGCCTTGGGCTTGCTTCTAGCACGTCCGGGGCTGGAGTTCACTGGGTTCAGTCTTCTTTGGGCAATTTGGGCATCCGATGTGTCAAGTTTCTGTTGCGTACAAGGCCTTCTGGCTTTGAGGATTTGCGACTTCACCGAAGACCTCACACATCTTAGGATTCGAATGGTTCACGCTTGCGGGGCTCCGGATTCAAAACCTTGCGGTGGATGTTTCGGGGTTCAGCCTTGCAGACTCAGAAAGCCATCAACGAAGGAAGCAGAGGCGAGGAACCGATCTCGTCAGTAGGGGCTCGTTCTACATGCCTGTGTTTTCAACAGCCTGCAATCAGCAAGACTCACGTTCCTCGACCCATCCCCGGCATAGAGTGCAGAAGATACTGCCCCTGTAAACCGCAAGCTGCCAGCACCGTGGATTACTGTGGTATGCTGCACCACTACATTCGACGTTGTTTGGACAAAGCACTTTATCGTACTCAGGTTTCTCTTGAGACCAACTAACTGCAGGCCAGTGGCGTACTTCTCCACGCTGGGCTGCTCGGCATAATAAGGATAACTTTGGCCGGGCCTGTGCAAACAAGGCCAAAACAAACTCCCAGAGCTCACGAACGCGAACACTGGAGAGGGACCTTAACTACGACTACGCAAACATGCCCACTGCTGTATGTGCAGGCATGTTTCTGTTTTGTTGTGGTAACCTCGTAATGTTAGCAGCAGCAGGAGAACTAGTAGTAGTTATCAGTAGTAAGTAGTTAGTAGTCGTCGTCGTACTAAAAGTAACACTACTGCCTTTGGTTGTTGCCACACAGTTGCAATGATGCAGCTGTACTGCTGCCGAGACGACCACGACTAGTACTACTAGTAGTAGCAGTAGTAGTAGTAGCAGCAGCAGCAGCAGCAGCAGCAGCAGCAGCAGCAGCAGTAGTAGTAGTAGTAGTAGTAGCAGTAGCAGTAGTAGTACTAGTACAACAACAACAACAACAACTACAACAACTACTACTACTACTACTACTACTACTACTACTACTACTGCTTCTCCTGCCCCGAAAGGCGGGCATTGACATAGTGCTCATTCGAATCTGTTTTGTGCTTGTCGACTTAGCTCTGCTTCCTTTCGCTGCGGGCTTCAGGTTTTGGGATTGTTGAAGTGGGGTTTAAGGGTCGAGGATGCGGTGGCTGTGGTTTTTGGGGTGTTAGATATAAGGAGTCTAGACTTGAAGGATTTGGGATCTGAGGCTTCTTCGATGTAACATGGAGCTCGGGGGTTCAGGGGTTTAGGCTTGCGGCACTAAGGATCCTTATCCGATTCCCCTAAACCCTGATCCCTGAAGCCCAAGGCTTTCAATCGAGCAAAACAGCTGCAATCTATGAAACCATCTTTCCGCGACAATCCGCAATACAGGAATTCTGTTGGTAATAATTCACGCACCGATGTCCTATGTTCACTCAGAGCATTCCCCTATTCCCGAGCTGCCCTGGCGCGGAGAAGTCCGCCGTCGAAAGCTGCTGCCGGACTCCGTTGAAGTCCAAGGGTGGTCTAGCCTCAACAAGCCGAAGGTCGAGCTTCCCAAGACTCGGGGGTTCTCCTTTAAGCTTAGGTTTCGGAAAGGCCTCCTAGGCGAAGCCGAGGCTTCAAAACCAATCACATAAAAGAAGTGGGTTTGCAGTGCATTGCGTGGAAACCCGGACTGGTGACGACAAGGTTCTTGCATTGGCTGTAGTTTATGCCCGTTCGTTCCGCTTGTGGCCTTCGACAAGTCTGATGAAACGCAGCGAGAATAACGACGGTTTCAACAACTTGGACATGCATGGCTTACGTGACATCCGACGCGGCCCGACGTGCCGGCATTGTCAGCACAGCAGGACGTCTCGGATCCCCATTCGGTCGGTCCCTTCAGCATGCACGTTGTGAGATTAAACTCCAAACAGCGCAAACCCAAGATCGTCGGCTGCCAAGGCACATGGTCTCCTTGTAATCTCTGCTCTATCGCAGGAGATGTCCCCGATGCCGGATAGTACTGCATCATCGCTGATGCGTCCTACGGCAGGAACTGCACCCTAGCCTAAACTCTGCTGCCGCAGAAAAGTACAAGGAACAGCTTCAGCAAACAAAACCTGGAAGCTGCGACATAACAGATTCGGATCTGCAGATTAGGCCTTAGGCCTGTTATCGCGGCCTCAATGGCAAGATTCAGTTTTGGGAGATTTCATACCATCCAATATGGGAACGTTCTACTACATGTTAGTCGAGGCCCCTGCGGTATGGGCTTGGGGTTTCAGTTCTTCTTTATCAAGGCTTTCAGCTTCACATCAGCACATCGGGCACGGGGCAGTTGAAACCGAAGTCCTGGTGGGCAGTGCCCTGCATGCCAAAGTGCATCAGGAAGGCGACCTATGTGTGTTTGCAGAGTGGTCTCAGCATAGGATTTTCAGGGGTACTGTGTTGGGTTCGGGGTTCAGACTGTCGAGACTCCAACATGGTCTTTTTGTTCTTGCACAAGATTTCAGGGGGGTTCGGAGCTTGGAAAAATTGAGACTCCAAACTGTCGGTAACCCTGAGCCTCAGCCCACCGTTTGGAACAAGGATGAAGGTCTCGCTCTTTGGGCATAAAACTACAAGGCTTAGGATTCGGTCTTGCTGTTCAAGGTTTAGTGTTGGGTCTTGGTGGGCTTGTGGTGAGGCTGACAGTTGAAGGCCTGCTTTGAAGATCCGGCGAATTAGCAGAAAGCCTATAAACACAAGCTCTCATGAGCTTGGCGGTCGTCAGAGGTACTGTAGTCAACACTGTAGTCTGCTTGCAAAGCTCGGGACGGCATCCACGCCTTCAGAAGCCAATGAAACCCCGGAAAAAACTTGCAGGTCTGGAATACCATGAAAGCTTATAAGAACTTCGATTGCAAACTCAAAGAGCGACTAAGATATGGCACCGAAAGAATCAAAACGAAAAGAGTCTTGGTGCATGTTATCTTCAATCTACGTAGGGGCCAGCAAAACCTTAGACACCATTCCCGGCCCCTGAATCCGATAAGCCCTGCAGAGCATGTGGCGCCAGAACGGTTTTGACATGTCCGAAGAATGTTAAACTCTCAAAGGTTGCGTGGTGGAGCATTGAATAAACCATATCTTCACCTGTAATGTATGACTATACACCCGTTCTAAAACGCCAGACACACCTTGTAACCATCCTACAACTGTTACCACGCCATGTCTGAAGACCATTTCATATGAAAATATTGCAAAGCCATGTAAGACCACTACAAAGCCATATTGTAAACACCCAGCAGCACGAAGAGTACAACGAAACCATGAACCACCCTCCTGTCAAGACCTAAAGACGGCCACATAGACCATAAGAATTATGATAGACCATCCTATAAATCCTTATAAGCCTTATGAAGATAACCGTAGCAGACCCTTATTTTCCCCACCCCACCCTCCACAAAAAAGTCTTCTTCGATAGCCCAGGCAACAGCGCCAGCGACTCCCGCAGTCGGCAGCTCGAAGCGGTCGACCAGCTCCTGGAGCTTTCAACAAGTCAAGTCGGCCGCGTGTTGTACATGCTGCCACATAAAACTAATTTTATGTTATGCTGCACTATATCTAATTGTGATATATTGTGCGATATCGGATTTTGCTATGTATCGATGTATCTATATATATATATATGCATGCTGTCTATACAAAGTTTGGACCTACAGTATAGTAACGCATCGGACAGTATAGCGTAACATAGTATAGTATAGTATGGCATAGTCGAATATTGCACCAGGCTAAACTATGCTATTAAACTGTACCACAGCTTCCTACCGTATAGTATAGTATACTATTCTATCCTGTACTATTTTTATGCTGTTCAGCTGTGTTTGAAGGGCGCGCCAGGGTCGGAGCGCGCAAGGGTTTAGACTTTGCAGGATTCCGCCGTAGTTCCCAACAAAATCCATGGCACACCACGGTAACAACCCCAGAACACCCTTGCAGGATTTGGACCAATCTTTTGTTGCAATTCGTATGAGTGGTGAACCGGCTGTACTTGCACTATCGGCAACCATTCATTGGCCGTTCATATGGGCACACCTTAGCTGGAATGCAGAGACACCGAGCTGTCAGAACCTCGGGTTCAAAGACGAAGATCCATGCACAGATTGGGTCCTAATTAGAATGAAAGATAGTAGTATCAGCACAATACTCATAATTACAACAGTAGATTTTACACTGCTACTAACAGGGTCCGAGACCAAGCTCATGGGCCCTCTGCGTGCCTTCTGCCATGCCTTGAAAGGCGCCACGCTCTCGGCAGCCACGCCTTTGGGGGCGCAAACAAAAGCCGGCGAGAAAAGAGCGGCCGAGATGATTGCGGCGACCTGAGTCTCTGAGCTTTGGGGTTTAGGGTACAGGTTTTAGGGGTTTAGGGAGCAGTTGGGAAATTGTTGCCATGAGATACTTGTACCCTCGGAGGCTGTCTTAGAATTTTCGGGGGTGCTTGTAGTCGGAGATGTGCACTGCAAATACGGCATCCTGGATGAAGAATCCGTGCTACAACTAAAGAACATGTCCTTGCTGTGGTGCCCTCAGCACCATACTGAAGATAGCTTTAAGTAGGAAACTGGAATGAGGCACTCACTGAGCACCAACTATGTCACAAGGATTCTCCGAATTTAGGCTTTAGGCTAGGGGTGTGTTGTGCTATGTGATGTCTACCCCCCACGCACAGCACTCACAACCCGATGTGCTAGAACTGCTTATGAACCTTCAAACACTGTTTCGGGGGCCCAACATCAGATGTTCGCCTTTGAATCACTGAACATTCAAGCATACAGATCCAAAGTTCTGAGCAACCTCCACTTGCTGCAACGAGGAGCCCAAACCACGCTGCCTCTCCGTGGCCGCACGAGCACAACCCGCAAGAGTGCCGTAGTGATGATCCCAACCTCAGAGATGACTTCATGGCTTAGGATCTTTGCGCTAGGAGCCCAATCTCCGTGCTTCTCGGCCCAATCTGGGGATTCCGTCAAGGGCTTCGTAAGGGTTTTCTGGCTTTATTAAGGCTGACGTGGGGTTTCTTTGGAAAGAAAGCTTGGTCATGAATTTGGGTGTGATTTGGGGCTTGGTGCTTCGGAGCTCGGGTTTGAGGCTTACGGTTCAGGGTTGGGGGGGTCAGGAAGCCCTGGGATGCAGTTTCTGCACATTTTTGACCGGGTCTGCTCAGGAATCTACTCTAAGTTGCCATACTAGGGATATTCTGTCAACAATCTGATCTCCCGAGGCCCTTAGAACGAACTGTTATGAAGTCGTACTGGCATCAGTCGAACCAGTTTGAACATCAATACAGAGCTCAGGTCAACCTGTATGGATGGTTCTGTGAGGCTCGTACACAAACCCTTCAAGAGCCACTGTCGAGCCTGCCAAAAACCTGACAAATGGACTCCTGATGAATGACGTAGACAACCGATCAGTATAGGGGCCTTAACTATTGGAACAGGGCTTGGGGGTGCATACTGACTAATTACACTATACGTACAAGAAAGGGGGCCTTCAGCACTAGTATAGCTAACTACTACGGCCCCCGCATGATAAAACCCGATTAAAACCCGAGGGGCGCAAATGAGAACACACCATCTCCAATTCAGCGAGCGAGCGCCTCAGATCTTCGCAACTTTGTAGCTTGTCCGTCACAAGACCAAGGCTTGACAGGACGTTAAGGCTCTGAGTTTTAGCGCTTCAGGGTTTGGGGTTTGGTTTGGGTTTGAGGCGTTAAGCTTGCAGTTGGGGGCTTTATCCCTTGCGCCCTTGGTAGAACTGCCATGCTCAAGCATAAACATAAGAACGTCCACATGAAGAAGACTGCGAATTTCCACTTCTGCCATCATGAACTATAATAAGTACGAATCCTAATGTCAATAATTGTACTAGCTATACTCGTAACTATACTAATCAGCTAATCGTGGCTAAATTGCCTACATGATCTTTCGGCATGCATTCATGCCTAGTCTAGCCTTTCCAATCGGACTGCTGTTGGGCCTTACGCACAGACAAATGACTTCCAATCTGAACTCTTAAGCCCCAAGTTAGCAGCTTAAACACTTGAACCCCGCTTCCTCAACATTGAAACCTTAGCAGACAATGCTATGGATACTGGATACTCCCTTCGGCGCTACATCAGACACGACTTTGGGAGCCCTTCTTGGCGCCCTTCTTCGAGGCGTCTGATGACCCTTAGCCGGGAGGCTGCCCAGCCACTCCGCCAACGCCAGCACGGGCTGGCACAAAGTGGATGCCTCCCGAAAGCAGGCAAACGGCGGCGGGGCATGGAGGGCCCTTTTGTCGGAAGTTTTGCGAATTTGTCGGCCCTTTCTTGCACGATGCTCCTGAACGCTAAGCTGTTGTGGGCCAGCGGTTTGGTGGGACTTGCGTTTGGGTTGGGGGCTCTCTTGAAGGTACGTTTTTGAATACCTTCAACCCTCAGCTACAATCCCAACACCCTGCCGGGATCCTACAACATAGAGGTCGGAAGCTTCATAGCACTATTCCAAAGCAGTCGGGTGCTTAACTATTGCCAGAACCTCTGGAAAGGGACCTGTAAATCTTCAAAAGCCTCCTTCGCCAAGGGCACCCTGCCTTCGGCATCGCCTCCTGTTCAGGTGACGCCGAGGCAAAACCGGAGACACCCTTCAGGGTGCCCCCCTTGGAGTCGAAGCATAAATGCTGCGGTCCATGATTTGGGGTTACGGTGTAAAACTGTGTCGGGGTATAGGATTTCGGGGTTGTAGATTTCTTTTTTCTGCAGGGCCTCGTAACCTCACCCCAAATCCCTCAACCCCACAGCCCCAACCACCAAACCGACAACCCAAATCCGAAAATCTCTAACAGACTGTACTCATTCTGATAGCATACGAATACTAGCACCGGGCTAACCAACAATACGGCCGATGATGACGATGCCGGTCACGGCAGAAACACCACCAGCAACAGCGATAACAACCCCCCCCAAAGGTGCAGTGGAGTGTTGATGACTACAGGCTTTCTATAAGCTGGTAGTGTCGGCAAACCACTCAGCAGAAAGTCGTGAAATGGGAAATCTTGGAAAACAGAGCGCATTCAGGGACGGATAAATAACTGTATGTATGTATGTATGTATGTATGTATGTATGTATGTATGTATGTATGTAGGTAGGTATGTATGTATGTATGTATGTGTATTCGTATAAATACATAAACACGCACACACATCTCTCTCTCTCTATATATATATATGTATATGTATATTATATGTATGTATGTATGTATGTATGTATGTATGTATGTATGTATGTATGTATGTACAGATAGATAGATAGATAGATAGATACAGTAGATAGATATATAGACACAAAAGTCAAAATGGAATTCCGTAGGAAACCATCCCCTCGGAAGCACCGTGAACCTTACACATCCGGAAGTAATAAAGTCACCGATGGTCGTTGTTCATTCAGCTGTTATCATCGTCTGGTCCTGTCTGCCCTTGATTGACTATGAGCGGCAGCAACCCTTCCCAGGCGCACTGTCCGCGGCACCTGCGATGCTGGCCAATGTGACCTGAGCCAGGCAGGTAGGGAGGGTGGAAGGGGCTTGGGGCATGCTCTGACAAGAAGACAGCAGAAGGATCCGCGGACAGAGCGAAGAGCTGCAACATGGTGCTTGAGGTTCAGGGTTTGGTTCAATGGTGAGGCACGGTGTCCAGCACAAACGACTGAAAGCTGCGAGACCCGCATATCCGCATATCCTGAAAACAAAATGGCTGTACTTGACTAGACACCGTAATGATGGTGAGGATTAAACATAGAACGATGAAAGGAAATCTGACAGAATTTCCTTTTATGACGTTACGGCTCCGGCAAAAACTACAAGGATGCAATGTCAGGATCCTCCTAAGCTACAACTTGCAAAGACTGTCCAGGAGCAAGGACCCGTGGTGCAGGCAGCGACAACAAGGCCAACACCGCCAGCCACAACGAGACATGCAAATAGAAGAACGTGCTGTAAGCAACGATAACCGAATGGAGCAACAGCTACAACGGCAGCCGACAACCATAAACCGTTGTCTAACAACCACGGGCAACAGCAGCAGTAGTATCAACAAAAGCGAATAAGTACAAGCGCAGCCAAGCTGATGCGAAGCTGTTGTTGATGCTGGCTTGATTAGTGCTAATGGCTGCCGGGCAAAGGTTATTTTGTGTTGATGCTTGCGCTTCCCATGTCCATGTTGCCGTCGCTGTTGTTGATGACGATGGCGATGGTAATTCTACCGATAGCAACTGCAAGGCCGTCAATGATTGCGGTCTGGGATAGTGCGAGCATGGGGGTAGATAATTCCTGCCGGTGGCTGTGACACTGATGACCTTGAGGCCAGCAACATAAAGCACTGAACAAGGAACACGGCTTCCGAGACAAGGTTCATAACCCACGACAGCCTGATAGCCAAGCCCTCGCGCAAGTGTGACCGCTGCCCGAGCATCCCGGCCAGAAGAGCTAACACTCGAAGCTGCATGGTTTACCAGGTACGGGAAACGCACACCTGTTAGCTGCGGGGTGACAGCTTTTGCTCGCTTTTGTTCGATGCATGTGTTAGGCCCCAAGGGATGGTACTGATGCTAATCTGCTAATGATGCTGCTGGATTTTAGATGGTGCTGCTGTTGCATCAAAGCACATTGTTACACCACTGCGGCAGCCACTGCCGCAGCGACCACCTTTGAGGCTGCTGCTGCTGCTGCTGCTGCTGCTGCTAACGCCACCACCACGGCGACGACTACGACAACGACTGCGGCGACGGCTACCACTACGACCATAACTAAATGATACTAAGTCACGAGACTTAACCTATTCTCAGGCAGTGAGTTTGATGATGACAATGACGATGCTGACGATAGCGATTCCGATGCCCAAAAATGACGATGGCGTTGCTGATGGTGCTGGTGCTGCTGCTAGTGGTGGTATTGGTTCTGACGAAGGTCATGACCGCTGGGATAATGTTGATGCCGATGACAATAGTTATGATGATGCAGCTGTTGAGGATGATCATGGCAACGCCCTTGTGCTTGTGAGACCATCTCAAAGGCAAACAGGCAAAGCGTGCATCTACTTGTATGTGTAGCTTCTCGGGATTTCCCTCCGTATCCGTCTTCTCGGGGCTTAAACAATCGGTGCCTTGAAAGCTGCCTTTTCGGGATCACGAATGATCTTGCAGATAACCTGAGGCCTGGAGATAACAATGAGAGTTCCACGAGTCGCAGCAAGAGTCATGGCGGCAGTGACCCCAGACGATGTACAACAACCCAGCAAGACGCGTGCCGTGAGTCTGTTTAAATTTTCGTCCCAGAATCCAAACTCAAGAGCCAATCTTGTGCCAGATTTAAGGGTCCGCGTACAAGGAGCCCTAAGGAATAGTATTGCTCAAGATTCAGGCTTCGATAGTACTTTTCGGTATGTTCGTTTTACATATTGAGACTCGTTAGGTCTAGTCCGGAACCTATGAACTCAGACGCGGGTTGCGTCTGGGGCTTCTGGCCTGCAGGCTTTCAACGTCCCGTTAAAGCCCTTCTATCACTGTAACATAACCTACACCGAATACTCCCACCCCCATGAAATCCAAACCTGAAGCCCTAAGCTCCGAAAGGCCAAGAGGGCCACTCAGAGGACGCCTCGGCTTGCGAGGGGGCGAAAGAACGGGTGCCCGGAGGCTGAGCCGAAAGTTCACGGTCCATGGGGCCTTAATGATCAGAATAGGGTATTGGCTGAGGCTTGGGAGCTTGCCGTGCAGAGGTTTAGTTGTCTGCGGGTGACGGGTTTCTACTTCCTGTGCCTGTAGTGGTTATCATTGTTGTCGTGACTACGGCCTTTTTGCTTTCTACTAAAACAATTGATTGGCACCTGTTATATCTGCTAGTATTGCGAGCACTTATGTTGATGTCACCGTTTTGAACACGTTGATATGGCAACTGGCTTGGTTCCACTGTTAGTAGTCCTCTCGTTTGAATTGGTGCTGCTCGTGGCATGTGCATTCTAGCTTCACTGTTAGCAGCTTCGTGGCGATGGATCTGATGTTACATTTTCTATAAGACTTTTCTCAATGTTCCAAGTTCAAAGTGTGTTTATCAGATGTACCATCATAATGACAACTCTGACTTTCGGCCCCTGATGTACCAAAGAGCCCTAAATTTCAGGCACTCTAGCATGAACCTTACTTGGGGCATGTGGGCTATCAGCCCCGGGTGTATATGGAAGGACTACGTAAGCTGAAATGAAGAAATGTACGGTTTCTTTAGCCCTTCGGGGTGCAGGTGTAGTTATGTAGCCTTGGTTTAAGGCATGGGGTTTGGGGCTTCAGGGCGGTCGCGAGCCGCTTCTTTTCCGCCGGCAGCAGCTAAGGCCGTGTGAAGGACCACGCCCACCTCGCAGTCAGGACGGAGATGGGGAACACACACCCGGACTGAACACCAAACCCGACCACATCTCCCCCCCCCAAATCCTTCAAGGCAGCCCTCGGTAGACGTCTACTTCTTGCATTGTCGGCACCGCCACACCGACGTTCAGCGAGTCCACGCCGGGAGCCATGGGAATCTGAAGTTGCCTCGAGGCAGGGTTCGGTTGATTCACGCTGGGCCTTCGGTGTCGCATGCTCCAGAAGTCTCAAAGGCAAAGCCTGCCCATGCACTCTATTTGATCCCCCCCTCCCCCCCTTCATCATACGAATATTATGGGGCTTCGGGGAATATTGCACGGGTTCTTAATAGCATGGGCAACTGTTTGTTCGTCCAATGTTACAGACAGCCTCTTCGGAAACACTCTTCGACCCCGGCAGGCCTGAACCACGATCCCACAAGCTCCCGTTTAGTAGCATGTGGCTTTAACAATGCCTTACATCGTACAAAGGTAGATATATCGAGTTCCAAGGGTCTTGGGCTGCCGTAAACCCTATAATTAACCCCCGTAACTAACCCCTCTAACCAGAAGCTCTAAAGCCCCAGCTGCGCCTGTCTGCCATGTGGATCACGCCGTCGGACACGCCACGGGCTTCGTTCCCAAACCTCAGCAGGTGCTGTCACCGATCAATCCCTAAACCCAGGCCCTAAACGGGTATGAAGCGCTTCAAGGTGTGGGACTTTGCTACGGTTCAAGGTATAGCATCGGCTTTTGGTGGGTGTCTTCTCACTGTGCTATGTTTCAATTGGTGATTATTCTTGTTTCCACTTACAATCCTTGCAATTTAGCACAAGCCGGGCCGAGTGTCACGAAGGCATCTCTTCCCGTCAGTTCTGCCGCGAGCTGCGTGGAGAGACAGCGCCCCTACTTGTCGGGTTGTTCTGCTTCAGGCTTCAGTCTAGTACCGGGATGCTGAAGGAAGACAGCCCCTGCGTGTAAGCTCGGGAATTGGCAGGGTTAGGGTGCAGCTAGCATTCAGGGTTTTGTGCTTGGTGATTGGGTCCAGTCCAGGGTGTTGAGATTAGAGACTGGGGCCCGCAGTTGGGTTGTCGGTTTAACTAGCATGGACTACAACACCGATAAGGAGCTTAGTTCACACCGCCGTGCTATACGTCCCACAGATTGTCTCCCTCAACTTTGAACCCTCAGCCTCGCCCCAAGCCTTCCAAAACCCAAGTCAGGATTGCAAGCTGAGCCTCCCAAAGTTGCTCTGCAGGCAAATAAGGCTCCTACAAGTGAGGCCTTAGGCTCTGGACGTTATGAAATGCCGTAAACGCTCCGCTAAACACTGTCCCCAGAATTGGTTCTGCGCTCCCGCTAAGACTAACACAGCCGAACCTGGACCGACCCAATGTGGGCCTTCAACAAAACAACTAGCAGAAGCGTACTCAGGACACGACGCCTTCGCAATAGGTAGCATGGGAAGTGCGTGGGGCGTAAGGACTTGAAAGTTTCGTTTTGATTCGGTCCTGAAAATTATGTAGGATTGCAGATACACTGCATCATAGCTATGCAAGGACTATACAGGGATGACCGTGCATCTATGGTGACTACTTATGTAGATGTCCATATACATCATGCTAAGCGTTTAGTTACGGCTCTTGGGGCTCAGGCAGGTTGGGCTTCTTCCAGGTTGCTGAAAGACCTTAGAAACAACCCACTGCAAACCCCCAACGCCTGTGCGGACCTGCGACCCTGACTCCCTCGAAGCAGATCAAGCAAAAACTGAGACAAAACACTGGCCCAAACTCAACATCCTAGCATCCAATCCTAAGCCCAAGCAGGAAAGCCGTGAAGAGCCATGAATTCCAGTGCCAACCCTAAACCCCCAATCCGAGAATCCTCAAGCGCACGCAAGTCAAGCCTCCGCCACTAAAATGAAGAGGTGTAACTTGTGAAAAAGTATACTGATTACGACGACCCTCATCTTAATGACCCCACGGCTTGACAGATTTCTTGCCTCCAGCGTTGTCGCGAAGATCCGGTAGCCCTGAAGTAGCTGCCGAAGCTCCTCCCGAGCTGAGAATTCAAGAAGTTTCTTGGTGTTCGGCTAAAGGGTTGTAGGTAACTTATAGGGGTCCGGCTCTAGGGTTTAGGGTTTGGGGACTGTTGCGACTAAGGCTTGTGGCCTCACGGTTTTGGGAGTGGGGTTTCAGGCTGCGAAGATTCTCCTACCACGCTCCTACAAGAGTCTTAGAGGATCCAAACGTCTTTTGTAGATTTGTTTGGCAAATGTCGATGTACTTGGACTTCAAGTCAGGAGTCGTTGACAAAGAAGCTGCAGCCTAAAGCCGCAGAGACCGAATGATAAGGCTTCCGGTGAATTTGTCCTCAGTTTCAAGAGCGGCAAATATATCTGTGGTTCTGTGACGGCAAACTTCAAGCTTCGCCTTTCTTGCTCCCCGAACCCATTTCCGAGACTTCAAGTCCCACGCATTCCAGAGGACCCTGAACCCGTGCCCAATTGGACGCCTCGACTCAGCCCCACGGCTCCCAAGTGACCGCCTTTGGGAATATCACACGGGATTTGTTCTTGGGGCTTAGGGGCTATAGGGTTCATTGCATTTCGATTCGAAGATACCTGACGAGTGCGCGCTGGACCTTGCAACAATAAGTCTCCTAGCCACCCTGAGCCTTTCGGACCCAAACCCTGCGCCCAACATTTTGAAGTTGGCCCAGTTTGGGCTCGTTTCTGTGCGTGCGGCGGGTCCTCGCTCTCGCAATGCTGCTGCGGATGACGCACTGACCGCTCGTAGATTAGACTTCCGTAAGTGCTTTACAGACGCCTGTGAACAGTCCTGATCTTGTCGGGCCGTTGTAGAGAGATGCAATGTCGGCCAGCCCTCCAAACGTCATCTGAGTAGGGTATTTTGCCTTCCATTTGTGAGCAAGATGACCTTCCATAGCGGAGTAGCAGCACATGAAGAGAATTCGCCGAGTAGTCTGGGCCTCCATGGTTTCCAGCATCTCCAGAGTTTTCTTGGCTGTAGCTCTCTGGCCTTGGTTGTTGGTGAGATCTGCGTTGTCCTTGCCACCATGGCCAAACACGATGACTACATCCTCTTCAGAGCAGGTGTAGGTATCACTGCTGTGGACAATCTTGATCTCTTTGACCTCTGCTGAGACATTTTCTGGGAGGCTCTTCTTCGATGAGTCTGCCAGATCCCTTTGAAACGCGCTGGACATCTGATCCAGATCACAGTTCTCGTCAGCTGCGAAGGGAATAAGGATGATCAAGTTCACCATGGCAGCAACTGAGACACAAATCCCTGTCCGACAACCTCAAAGACCTCAAACACAAGATGCCAAAATCTCCAACTCCAAGTTCAGAACCCGGTTAAGAGCGGACAACAACATCTTCGATTTCATGGCGCAGTGCTTGGAACAAACTTGTAGGCACAGAGTGCTAGTTAGGTCCCATTATCTCGCATGTCTTGTGGTTTGTAATTTTGAGAAGTAGCACACGAGGTTCATGCGACAAGAAGCGGCTTTAGCAAGGAAGCGGCAATCGAACGCATCCTTAACCGTCGACCCTACAACACCAAACTGTACACCAACTCACGCTCCCTGCTTCAGAGCACCCCAAGCCCCAAGCAAGCCCCTGAAGCCCCACAGCCTGCTCTTCAGCACAGAAGCGACAACAGAGGAATCCGTGAAACAAGTGGGATATTCAGCATAAGGGACCGTAGTGGAAACCCCCAAAAGCAGAAACCTTGCTTGAAGGACCCTCCATATCCCTGATCGTTATACGGTGCAACCACTTACACCCCTACTACATATGATAAGACGACCGGATCGAGACCATAAGGGGATACTATTATTGCTCATACCCCTAAATTCAGGCTCTGCCAGCACACCCTCTTTGTCGGCCTCAGCAGCTGCAACCTCCAGGACATCTATTCGACCGCGCACCTCAAATCGAACAAACATCTCGGGATTTTCTTGGGGGCTTTGGGCCGTTACGGTTTTGTATGAAGGGGGACTGTTAGGGCTGTCGCAGCCCTGGAGCGAGGGCCTTAACAATTCTGTCTATGGTAGGTTCAACTAGGTATATGAAAATGCATAACCACACACATACATATATACATATTTACATGTACATATATATATATAT